GCCATGGTCCTTGTGCAGTTTGAGAGGCTTAGCTCACCTTTCATACATGAGATATTTGCCCCCATAATATAATTTATCCACTATAAAAATCAAGCTATTATTTTCAACTGGTTTTCTTTTTGCAAATGCATAGATTCTTATGAGTGGAATTTTAGAGGACAATGTTATGTAACAAAAGCAACCTGATGCCAACCTCATCATCACCCAGCCTTCTAGAGAAATGATTCCTAGCCTAATGTGACTCAGGGCTCACTGAAACACAGACTGTTTCTGATTCTGGGTGTTTCTGATTCAGGTCTGGATGGGCCTGACACTACGTGTGCTGCTGCTATGGGGAGCACATTGTGAGAACCACTGCTACTGGGTTATCTTTGCATTTTCCCTATTGCCTGCTTTCCATATCCACACTGACACCAAAGCTTGTCCTTCTATGTCCTCTGTCCTTCGTTTCTATTTTTTTTGTCTTTTGTTTTGTCTCTCTTTTTTTTTAAATAGCTTATTGTCAAGTTGGTTTCCATATATCACCCAGTGCTCATCCCCACAAGTGCCCTCCTCCATGCCCATCTCCCCGCTTCCCCCCTCTCACCCATCAGTCCTCAGTTTGTTCTCAGCATTCAAGAGTCTCTCATGGTTTGGCTCTCTCCCTTTCCCCCACCATTTCTCCCCTTCTTCTCCCCCTTGGTCCTTGGTTAAGTTCCTCCTCATCCTCCTATACGTGCAAACATATGATATTTGTCCTTTTCTGCCTGACTTATTTCGCTCAGCATAACACCCTCAAGGTCCATCCATGTTGCTACACATGGCCAGATTTCATTCCTTCTCATTGGCATGTAGGAAAGAGCCTAAGTGTCCATCAATGGACTAATGGATCAAGAAGATGTGGTTTATCTATACTTTTGTTTTGTCTCTTGAGGGGACGGGACATAGAGGAGCCCTGCTTTGCTCCATGACAGGATGGTCTGTGTTATCAGTTTGTTTTCTCTCACTTTCTTATTTTCAAATATGTCCTTAACTCTTGGTCTCCTCTCTCACAACTTTTATGAAGCTGTAGTAAAGTGAACTTGAGAAACTCCGAGGAGAAATGAAGAACCATGTGGTTTGGGAGTGGACAGAGTGGTTAGGTGAAGGGTTTTCTTTTACTCTTAAAAAAATCATTAAGGAAGGGAAAAAAATGCTGATGTCATGTAGGAAGTTCAGGGGAAATCCAAGGAACACCACATTGCTTCAGCATTTGAATTCCATAGAGGGTGGAAACCTGTCAAGTGCTTGTTATTCAGATATGTGAGGCAGAGCTAAGCAGCTCAGTGTCTCTTCGATGGAGGGGGCTAAAGTAATAATGATGATGATTTTTTTTGAACATTAACTAGTACTTTCCCGTTTATGACAAGCTCTTAAATGTACCTTACTTTTACAGCTACTCAACAGACAAGAAAATTATTATCTCCATTATAAACTCAAAGAATCTGAGGGCTATAAAATTAAGTGACTTGCTTATGGCCACACAGACAATTAAAGGAACCAAAACTGAGCCCAAATAATATAATTCTAGGATAACTGTCTTTCACTTATGTCCCCACTCTAAGTTTTAGTGTTGTAACCATTATGGAATATGTTTTACAGCCAGGGCTTCCTGGTTCCCTAAGGCAGAGCTTAGCTTCAAAGTCACTACAATGAACAGATTTATTTGTTTTAAATACTTCCCTTCAATGAGTATGTGGGTCATTAACACATAGCCCCACCGCATTTTATTTGGAATCCTGATGTCAGAATAGATTTTCTGCAGTTGTCCAAAGTAAGTACTATTGATGTTAAACCTTTGAGTAACTGAAATGCAAAGCCAGGTACCCTGCATAATAGCTGTGAGGCAGAGAACTCAAATATCTTTCCTTTTAATTCTATCAAGCTACTCTTCCTTAGTTAAGATTCTTTTAGATTAGATTATAGGTAAGAATACTGAAATCATCCATACTTTTTCAAGTATCCCTAGTACTTTCTGGATTCTTTTCAGACCAACATTTAGGCTTTTTGCTCTGGATTTTTGTCATTTCCACTGGGCTCCTGTGAAGCTGGGAGGCCCCATATTTTGATGTTTTCCCAAGAAACTGGAGAGAACTTTGTTTTGAAATGGAGGGTGCAGTGAATCCAGTCCTGAATTACTTCCATATGTTCAGGCTGTCTTGCCTTTTGAAAAAATCTAGACCAATTGTTCTTTAACTTTGTTAGGTTATGGATTCCTTCAGTTAGACAAGAGTCTTGATAGACAGATGGCCCTTCCAAACTGCCACTGCCAAATAATTCAGGGTGAATGGGAAGAGTTTTGGTTCTTTTGAATGAGGTGCTCAAGTGATATCTGTGTATTAATTGTTCTCAGATGTAGCCACGTTATAGACACCAACACAAAACCTTCCTAACTTACGGAGAACCTTCATAGTTTAGTAGATTATCTGAAGGCTACAGTTTGAGCATAATTTAGATTTAGATTTATGAAATAACTGTACTTATAGCTTTTGTATATATGGTGGCTACATGTACAAACCCATTGCTGGTTTTCTCGTGGGCAAATCTAGTTATTTGGGTTAACCACAGAATCCTTTAGTAAATCCATTGGATAAATATGTTTATATAGCAAAAAAACAATTTTTGATACTGCAATGAAAATTTTATGTTACGAATTCAGTCTTATTTAATATGTGATCTAATAAAATAGAATTTGTGAATTTTATATCCACTGGGTCTCCTGGAAGAGACACACAAAGGGGGGTTGGCAATAGAAATGTTTATGGATCCAAGACAAGCAAAGTAAACTTTGGCTATGGAGACAATCCCGCAAATGGTCTCTTTTTTCTCCTTAATCTTTAATTTGATGGTTTAACTATTCAGGAAAAGAAAGGGAAAACATTTTTGAGAACACTTTGTAAACCATAAAGTGCCACATAAATAAAAATATTACTGTTTGATCAATTTACCAAATAATAGTGATACCCATACCACATGGAAAATTACCCCTGATTCATCTCAGGTTATTAGTGAATTCACATTTGTCCCAAATGAACATAGTGACCTATCTACCTGATTTCCTGCTAAATTCAGTAGTGAGTTACTATGTTTATTTGGAGGTATGAATACTGTCATCTTAAGAAACAACTGATTCACATAAAGGCATATGCATAGATTTTCATAATGTCTTACCTTAAGCTGACTGTGAAGAAGGCAAAGTTCATTGTAAGTAACAGTTGGTTTTAGTTGTTCAATTCCATGTTGGGTACCTTATCTCAGTGTTTGCCTCCTTCACTTCCACTTTCTAACTTAACTTTGTTTGCCTTATGTCCTATCCCCTAGATGCCTGCTAGCTTATCTGAGAAACAACGTTGCTTTGAGGAACTAATGTATTTTCATACATTAAAGTTCTAGTACATAACTTTTTCTGGCATTTTTTTTTTTTTAACAGGGGTGTTCTATAACCAGAGGTATGCCAGAAGAGTGACTCTTGTGATAGGAATTTCAAATATGGTGATCATCATTGGGGTGGGTATTTTCAGGAACAAGAGAATCTATGTGACATCATATCACATATGTGGTCACTTATATGTAGGAGCATCTGTGGAATTCTCACTTCTGTGTCTGTCCTGTTACGGAGCTGGAAAAGGGCACTGGCTGGGAGGGCAGGAGATCTTAGAATCACAGAATCCAGGGATGAAACACCATCTCACCCAACTACTCACCTAATGATGGAATCCCCTCTACAACATCCCTATGAAATGATACCCTTTCCTTGAACATCTCTAATTATAGAAACTCAGTCCCTTTAGAGGCTGTCTATCCCATCTTAGAGCAGCTCAGACCACTAACAACTCTTTTCTTTTATTTAGTTGAAAGAATCTCCGTTATAGCTTCCAATCATTGGTCCAGTTCTACCTTTTGGAGTCAAACAGAATAAGCTTAATGTCTGTTTCCTCCCAACCATTTAAATATAGCTAGCAATGCTAATATTAGCTACCATTTATAGAGTGCTGATATTGTGCCAGGAATTGTTTTAAGAGATTCATGTATTAATTCATTTAATCCTGAAAACAATGCTATAAGAAAGATGTATTACTATTATCCTTTTTATATAGACAAGGAAACAAGTATAGGAAGATTAAGTAATTTTCCCAGAGTGACAAAGTTCAGTAGTGCCTAAGTCTAATTTCAAACCCAGGCAAGGTGGGTCCAGAGTTCTAGCTTAACTACTACATTATGCTGACCCTGAAGCTCAAATTCTTGGATGTGGCCTCTATGATGCCTGGAGTCTTCTTTTCTGCAGGTTGAACATCCCTAGGACCTTCAACTATGATATGCCATGGCTTTGACTTCCTTCATCACCACCCTAATTATACTCCTCTGAATATGCCCCCAATCAGTTTATTGTCCTTTTATAAGGTAGTGCCCAGCCTAAACTGTGGTCTCTAGGTGTTGAAAATAGAGAATAAGCAGTAGAAAATAGAGTGAGTCTATCACTTCTCTTTGTTTCAGGGACCACAAATGCAGCAGCATAAGCTTGCATCAGCCTTGTTGTGGCCTCTTCAAGCTGATGGTTCATACAGAACTTACTACAGACTGAATCTTTCATTCCTATTCTGCCTATATGACTTTGGTAAAATGAAGTGACTGGAGTATATAATTTCCAGACTTTTCCAGTTTTAAATGCCTGGGATCAAAGAATATATTACAAGTTCAATGTATTTAAAGGATATTGTGCCTGAAAATTCTGTCAGACTTTTCCCCATTTGTCCTTCTGTATAAAGCGTTTCTATGATTTTTGTATTTTGGTGGCATGATGCTTCATTCCCATGATGGGGGCACCCTTGGGGCTTCTAGAAGATGGCTGATAGTGAGGTCTCCTTCAAATCTGAAAGATGACTCCAAGCCTTCCTTTCCACTTGCTGTCCTGCCCCTCCCTTCCTACAGCCCCCCTCACACCCACATCCCGGTTCCAGGCCCCCGGGAGGGTCTACACTCACCTGTGTGTACGAACATGTGCTTGACGTAGTTCTGTTTGGCGGTGAAAGTCTTGTTGCAGAGAGTGCACTCATAAGGCTTTTTTTCGCCCTGCCCACTGGCTGTGCTGTGGCCTGCAGATGGGGCCAGGGGCTGTGGCGCTGGCAGCTGTGCAGTAAAGGTCGACAGGCCAGGCTGGGACACTGTCACAAACTGGGTCTGCTGGCCTGCCAGGGGCTGTGGCAGGCTGAAGAGGAAAGGCTTGGGGCCACTGCCCGCGGGCTGGGTAGTGAAGAGGGCCGGCAGGTAGGTGTTGCCGGCTGTGCCAATGACCTGTGTGTTGCTGGTCAAGGTCAGAGGCATCCTCAAGTTGCTGGTGAGGGTTTCTGTCTGGCGTAAGTAGAGCTGGGTACTTGGCAATGGCTGCCCAATGGACGTGTTGACCGAAGGCTGCTGCAGGACGCTCTTGTCTGAGCTGTTGCTGACAGTGATGACCGTGTTGTCCATCTCCACCTCGTTGGTTCTCTCCGGGGAGGAGGCACCTGTTTCTAGCTGGTGTGGCTGTGGGCCGCCCTCGGCAGGAGCTTCCGTGGCCTGCTCGGCTTGGGCAGGTTCGGCCTGGCCATCCCGCGCTGCTCCGGGCCCGAACTGCTGCTCCACCGAGTCAGGCTCGGTGCCTATGGAGGAACTGACGCCCGAGTCGAAGCTCTCGCCCTTGGGCTCACTCTCAGTGCCCTCTGCTTGGTCGGTGTCTTCCGTGCACTCCTCAGATTCGTTGCGCTCCAGGATCTGCACCCTTTGCTGCCCATAGTAGTCGTAATCGTCCTCCATTTCCTGTTTAATGTGGATGTTGCCCACCAGGGTCTGGATGCGCACCGGCCGGGGCTGCTTGCGGCAGTGCGTGGTCTCGGGGGTGGTGGACAGGTAGCGCTCCATCTGCTGTGAGCGTTCATGGATGCGCGTGATCCAGCTGGGGTCTTCCATGTGGTGGTCACGGGGCAGGCCGAGCGCAGTCTCGTGGTGGCTGACCACCGCACCGCTGTAGAAGGAGCGCTCACCGCTGCCGTTCTGCATGGAGCACGCGTAGAGCGCCGAGTAGATCCTGTCCACGCTGTGCTGCGGGTGGCTCTGCAGGTAGCCTGACTCAGTGTCGCTGCTCTGGCCCGACGTGCCTGACTCGGGAGTGCCCCGTGGTGTGTCCTGGCCCGAATCCTGGATCCCCGGGAACACATCGCCCACGTTCTGTGACACAATGCGCGTGCACTCATCGATGACTGTTTTGATCTGCAGTATGCTGGCGGCCGTGAGGATCTGCAGGGCTTCCGACTGCGAGACGCGCAGCACGCCGCTGTACATGAAGTCAATGAGCTTTTGCACCGACTGCACCGACACCACGGACGGGATCTCGATGTCGCTGTAGCCTAGCAGCAGCTTGTCCTGGAAGAAGGGGCTGCCGGCTGCCAGCACGCAGCGGTGTGCGCGCAGCATGCTCCCGTGGATGCGCACCGTCACGTCACAGAAGTGGCCACGGTTGCGCTGCTCGTTGAGGGTCTCGAGCACGGAATTGCTGAAGTTGTGAAGGTTGATGCTGTGAATGCGCTCGGTCATCCCCTTGCAACTGATGTCACCTGCACGGTGGGTGGCAAGATAGACACAAGACAGGGCGTGTGGGTCAGGGCTAACTGACTGCATTCCTAACACCCAGGTCTCAGGTGGGTAATGCCCATGACTCCTGGAAGCAACCCCACCCCCCACCTCCAGATGCAAGCGGGCTCTGTGGCGAGTTGGACATGCTATGCACAGGGGTCAGGCTGAAGCATGATGGCCTATAGAACAATGCCTTTCTTTAATTTGACCCCCACAATACCCCAGCTATTTTGGGTATTGAATCCCTATTAATGCCCTAGAGCTTCAGTGAGGCTGTCAGTTGAAGTAGTACAGCCAAATAAACAGATGGGCCATTTGCCTGCTCTTCCTACAACTTCAGCAAATAAGATCTGAGAACAAATGGAAGATTGGTTCTCATGGAACTCTCTACCTCCACTTTGGACAGGTCTAAGACGAGGTCCTTTGGGAAAGCTGACATTTTTTCCCAGTTTATCAAAGTTCTTGATTTTATTCATAGACAGAAACAATAATCATTGTCAAAAAAATAAACTCTCTTCCTATTCATGTATATGTATACTTCTGAATCGACACCATGTGTGCAAAAACTCTTGGAAAATTAAATCCAGACTAAGATATCCACCAAGAAGCTGCTGCCATGTTTTCCAGTTGAGGGACAGGTTATGGAATGCAATTTGCTGGCTAAAAGGGCGCTCAACCACTGTTTTCTTTACATACACATTCTTCTTGTCATCTCCGACAACCTGCTTGAGAACTTTCTAACTCAGTCATATGTGATATGGATGGTTTTCTGAATTTCCTGAAGCTTAATGAAGAAGGAATGTTAAAAAGGTCAGAGATGGCAGCAGTGACCTGGGAGACTGTAGTATAGTAGGTGCTCATATTTAGTGTTCAAACTGGGCACTTCTGAGAGTGCAAGGAAGCACTGTTAGTAATTAGGTGAGGACCACAGGAGTAAAGCAGGAATGGGATGTATGATCACCCAAAGCAGTAGAGTACTCTATGCACTTGTTACAGCTCCCTGTGGGAAGGCAACAGTGAACTATGGGGAGACTGTGGCTAGCCTGACCCATTGGTTATTCCCCACACTCTGGAGACAAGGGATACTGTTGGTAACATTTGGATCATAGATTGAGAAATAAAATGGGTGGTTGTAACACTAAGTCTTAGGACTTTCCTATTTTTCTACGTCACTTCTCAAATGACTCTAAAGAATCCCTCTCTGAACCATCCTACATTTCTCTTCCCCATTCTTGCCTTCACAACTGAACAATCAGCTTGAGAGGCTAGGTGAGTAGGCTTTCACCATCAGTTAAGTACAGATTGTTGGCCTGTGACCCAAATCCCTGTGTCTTGTGAGAAGTAACCCCCAGAAATAATGGCTTGCAGATGGGAGGAGTGCCTACCTCCTTTGGTACTTTCTTCTCTGCCTTAGGAGAGAGGACCCATTCAGGAAAGTCTGAGCTCAACCAGCTCTACCTCGCTTCACTCAATCTCCTCATGCTGTTTGAGCTCAGTTGGTATGACTGCATCCTTTTATATACTCATTTATTTCCTTTGTTCCCATTTTCACATTTCGTCGGCCTCACATATAACCAGTTAACTTAATAAATGCCTAGAGGCTCTATGTTCACTTTCCAGTGATATGATTTGCACTGGTTTTTACGTAAGAGAATTCCTTCTTGTTATGACTTCCATTTGGTCTAGTATGTGCCTAAAATATTGCATTGGGCTACAGTTTCTAGTTTTTGCACTGTTGTAAAACAAATAATCTTTGCCACATTCAAGAATCATGTTGAATCCTCTATAACTGTGCTAATACAAAATATAGTCCCAGGGGAAGGCCCCAATAACCCAGGAAGCAATGTTCAGGAAATCAGTCAGAAGACCAAATTGTAAGACCTTGCTGAGTCCTCCATACACATGGAGCATGATAACAACAAGAGCAGACATTTCTTTTTTAAAAGCTTACCATGTATTGCCATATCATTTCACTGAAACATCACAGCACCCGCTATCACACAGATAGTATTATTATCCCCGTTTTTCAAATGGGAAAACTGAGTCCAGAGAAATCAAGAAAGTCGCTGAAGGCCACTTAGGCAACTGGTGACAGAGCTGGCATTTTAACCTAGGCGGTCTGGCCCTAGAATTCACACTCTTACCTGCTTTACCGCATTGGCATGCTTTGCCCCAAATGAAGTCTGGCCCTTAGGTGTCCATGGGTCCACTGTAAAGCCGTATGAAAAGGCTTGTCTGGTATGTCCTCCAATTACTTCTATACCTATCCATAAATTAGCATGGTGTTCATGTTTCTAGGCCTTGGGACTTCAAAATAGTTTCTAACATAGTAATCTAACTTAAAAACATCTTTTTTTAAGTTTAAAAATGGAACAATGCAAGAGATAAAACACCTGTCCTCACACTAAAATGTAGTAAAATCTTTTCTTTGTTTTAACATAGTTTTTAAATGTTTATTTCTGAGAGAGAGTAGAGGGGAGGGGCAGACAGAGGGGGATAGAGGATCTGACGCAGGCTCTGTGCTGACAGCAGCGAGACCCACGGAATCATGGTCTGAGCCCAAGTCGGATGCTCAATCAACTGAGCCACTCAGGTAACCCCAAAATGTAGAATTTTCTACATGGAATTTTACTATCACTAAGGTCTTTTTTTATTTAACTAAAACAGTGAGCACAAAAACCAGGTGAGTCTCTGATAAAATCACCATCTCTGAGTAGGATGGATTTATTAAATAGCTTTTTCCCACACAGGTGAAAACATTCTTTAAACACACATTCGCTCATAGCACCAGTCACAGAGATATCACTAGATTTGCCATTTATGATAAAGAAGTGTCTTCTTTCTGATTAATTCTGGGAAGAAACTCTACCACCAGTATCATAACAATTAATATCCATGTAGCATTTCAAAGGTGCTACAAAACTTTCTCATGTACAGTATTTTAGTCTTTTCTTAAAACTGTCCTATATGTTTTTAGGTCAAGTCCTATTACTATTATTTGATGTAGAAAAAAGTGAGGCTATCAAAGTGTTTTAATAACAGCCTAGGATCTACACAGCTAGTACGAGGTAAGGTTAGGATTAGAACCCACACCCCTTGATGTTTTTCTCACTACATACCACTGGATTGCTGAAGAATGAAAATTGGATTGCCTAAAGATCTAATGCCACCCTAATTCTCAGGACATAGAAGAAAAGATAAAAACACTGAAAGTGATGATGAAAGTTGCTTTACAGAGGGAGAGACCGACACCAAAAGCTGTCATCATACTGCACACATTCATTCACACACACACACACACACACACACACACACTCACAAGCTCATGAAAAAAATTCACACTGCTTGACTGAACTGGTTGTCTATCTAAACAATCAGGTAACCCTATGGAGATAATCACAATAAAATTGTTAAATAATCTGAATTATGGTTACTGCAGTAATGTCACCAACTTTGTTAAAGACCACAGAGGCAAACTCCAACCTGCACACATGTACGACCTGATCCGACAAGCCTACTTGGCTTTTTATAGACACAATTTTTAAACATCTCCCTGAGTGCAATGGTCCCACACTGCAGTAAGCAGCCATGAAAGGCTGAATGGGCTTTGCTGATACGGGTACAGATGCTATGGGGGTCCCTGCCTCTCCATTCAAGCGTGACTGGTTCCTCCCGCACACAATGCTGAAGCAATTTTTTCCCAGGCTTTCTTTTATATTTAACACTAATACAGTGGGAAAAAAGTTTCTGCCACAGCAAGGCAATGTCCAGGCTTTTGTGAAGCAGGTCCTTTCATCCAATGGGCATTAATGTATAGATTCCAATGGAATAAATCTGAAATAGTCTACTGTAGAAGATTTGTTCCCCATTGAAAACAAATCTTGATTAGATGGTTATTCAGGGACTGTATAGGAAGGAATGGTGTGAAAATGCTAACTCCATTCTTTCCTAGATTGGCACTGAATAGGCATTTGGGCTATTCAAAAAAAAAAAAAAAAAAAAAAACAACACCAACCACCCTCTCAACTCTACAAAACCATACAACTTTACAAAGATTATGTATACTTGGGGACGCCACCTCACCCAAAAAATACGCCACGATGGTGTGAACATAGAACTGAGGGGGTAAAATGAAAAGTTGATAAAATGGTTCTCTGTGTGTTTAAAAATAATAACCGACCTCCTTTCCACTAGAGTAAAAATATAGAGTCAGCCTGAGATGGCATTCACTAGAAACACACAAGGCATCCTACCATGGAAAGTGGTCATGTATTCTGAATGACTGTGTTCTGTGAGCGAGCACAATACAGATGGGGCTGAAGCAGGGTGAGCACCGAAGGCAAAATCAGCTTGTGGTCAAAGAGGTGTTGGATGGCCTGGCTCTGCCTTGTAGGAACCCGGCTCCTGCCTGTCTCTTAAACTGCGGGTGTTCAGGGACAGGGCTTAGCATGAGAATAAAAAGCTGCTTGTGCACAAGGGAACATGAACAAGAAAGGAAACAGCAGGCAATACAATCTCCCTTAATTAGGTGTGAAATCCAGTCCTTTCTCAGCCCTGGATATATAAAATCAGACCAGTGCAAGGGTGAGGTGCTATGGAGGGAGATGGGAATTTGAAGTCTCTGTGATTTGGGAGGAAACACCAGGTCTCAAATTAAAACTAATGTGAATTTCGGTCAAGTCAACACGTCTAAGTCAAATGGCAGGGCTGAAAAGCCCTTGAGCTTTCAATCTGGGCCAGCAGGCTCACATGAGGTAAGTGGGTCAGCTCACAAAATAGGGCTAGGGTGGCCAGAGCTCCACAGCCCAGGCTTTTATATCACACTCTTTGCCACACTGCATCTTGATACTTTTACTGTGTTGAGATTTCTTTTTCATATATCAGGTGATTAGTGGTGACCCTAAGCTACTGTATGCTGGTGCTACTTACGAAGTTGGTCATAAGAGGAAAGACCCATTCTTCTCCTGAGGAAA